TTTACCTAGATATAATTACTTAGATATTAGGTAGGCTTTAAAGATACTATTAATAGGTAAAAAAGTATACTAAAGGTATAGGCTTTAATATAGTTTTACTATTTAAAAAAAGAGAAAATCTTTTAATAATTAAGATAAAATAAAAAAAGGTTAAGATTTTAATAAAAAAGTTCTTTTTTAACCTCTTAATAAGCTTTTATAACCTTTAACTACTAATAAATAAGATTCTAGATTAAGATATAAATATAGTATTAAAAAATATTACTATAAACTAGGTAAGGTCTATACTAGTAAGGTATATATTATAGAATACTTTAAGCCTTAATAGGATTTTTTATAGGTTCTTTAAGATATTAAAAGAACTATTATATTTTTACTTTATAATACTTTATATAGCTTATATATAGATAGGATATTTTCTAAAAAGGTATTAAATAAGGATAATAATTATTATATAGAAGCTAAGTAAAATAGAATAGAAATATAGAATAGCTAAAGAATAAAAACTAATTACCTTTTTAAATATTATAAAAAAACTTTTTAAAAAGATTATAATAAACTAAGTAACTAGAATAATAGAATCTTATAAACTCCTTCTAAATAGCTAGATAAGTAATTAATAATAATAGTTAATAAAGATAATAATTACCTTAATAATTAAACTTATTTAAATTACTTAATATTAAGGTAGTTTTATCTTAATATTTTAACTTAATATTATAAGTATTTTTAATAATATAGTTTATTTAATAATAATAGCTATCTTTTAATACTTAAAGTTCCCTTTTATTATTCTTTTTTTATTAAAGACTTACCTTTAGAATAGAATAATATAAATCTACTTATATAGATTTTTATTAAATACCTTTTAAATCTAATAAAGAGTTCTATAAGGCTCCCCTTTATTATTAATTCTATTTATTTTATTCTTATTATCTCTATATTAAGTCTTAATTAAGGTTTAAAGAATAATAACTATAAGATTTATTAATAATATAAACCTTCTTAGTATAATAATATCTTAAGATTAGGTTATAATCTAGCTTTAATAAGTATAAACTATTTATTCTAAATAGTTAATAACCTATACCTTAATATTCTTTATTTTAAAATTCTAACTTCTTTATTTTTAATAAGGTTAATTTATAATCTTAAAAAGCCTTTAATTTAAAAACTACTAACTTATATTATAAGTAGTAATTTAACTCTTAAGAGTCTAGCTTATATTATTACTAATATAAATAGTATATATAATTAAAGTTAAAATAAAAGTTCTTTCTATTTAATAAGCTTTTAAAGCTTTTATTAAAATAACTTAAAGCTTTTAATTAAGATATACTAAAGAACTTTACCTTTATACTATTTAACTAATTATAGCTTATAGCCTTATTACCTAGTATACCTTAAAAGATAGACTAATAAGCTTAATTACTACTTTTAATACCCTTTAAGTAATATACCTTTATATAATAGTAAAAGCCTTTTAGGCTATAACTACCTATTATATTAAGGTTAAACTTAATATCCTCTTTATTTACTTCTACTTTACTATCTATAAGGCTTAAACCTTAATAAAATAAAAAAAGAATAAAGTAATAACTTAACTTTAATATATAATAACCTAGGTTATATTATAAATCTTAATCTTAATAGTATAATATTATAAGATCTAATAATAAAGGTTACCTTTTATATACCTTTTAAAAGGATTATTAATAAATACTAATTAAATAGTAAAAAATAATAAAAAGAAACTAGGTAAATAGCTTTAAGTTATATAGAATAACTATTAAGAGGATATAGATATATACTATTAAAAATAAGTTAAATAGCTATAAATTTACTTAATATATTACTTATTATAAGTTTAATATAAAAAGAAAAAGAATACTTTATAATTCCCTTTATACTATATTAGTTTACTAATTATATAGCTTTATATAAGTAAGATTAGGCTAATAGCCTTTCTTTATAATAAAAGAGTTTTTAAATTCTTCTTATTAATATACTAATATAAAGAAGGATTTAAAAATCCTATTTATATTATCTTCTTTTATCTACTATTATACCTAAACCTAAATATAACCCTCTTTTAGAATTAAAAAGATATTTTCTTAACTTTTAACTACTTAAAATATATAATAACTATTATAATATAGTTCTATAAATAGTAATAACTATAATACTTTTAAATATAAATAGGTAATAAAGAATAATAAGTTAAACTAAGTCTTAATTAGGTTTTAATAATAATATAAATAAAGATAGATTTAAAGTATAATATTTTATTATTTAATTAAGGTTTCTTATAAATTTTTACTTATTAATATAATAATATTTATTAAAAGTTAAAAAAAAATAAAATTAAAATACTTTTTACTAAATTTAAAAGTAAAAGTAATTAAAATTATCTTAACTACTTTAACCTTTTTCTTAATAATATCCTTCTTAACTACCTTTTTAATAGTCTTTTTAAACTTCTTACCTTTATTTAGAAAGGGCTTTTTCTTTTTTCTTTTATCTTTAATACCTTTTTTAATTAAGCTTTTTCCTTTTTTATTAATAAAAGCTCCTTTAACCCTTTTCTTTAAGATTTATTATATTAAAGATAGATTTATAATAATAATATAATTAAAAGGAGTTTAAAGTAATTTAAATAACTTTAGCTTACTATTATTAATAACTTTATTATAAATAATAAAATTAAATCTATTAAAAAGTATAAAAGTATTATATTAAAACTTAAGATAATTAATTAAAGCTATAAGTAAAAAGTATATTATATATATATTATTAATAAATTCTTTAAGAATATTTATTAGTTTATTTTAAACTATAAATATACTTAAAAATAAGTATACCTTATATATTAAAATTAGGCTAAAAGTATTAAAACTAATAGAGTATATATAAGGTAAAAGGTAAAGTTATTATATTATATAACTTTTATCTAGTTATATAGTATAAGTAAGTACTAAATATATTAGGTAATAGGAGATTATTCTTCTAGCTTCTAAGCTACTTATTATTACTCTTACTTAATCTATATTAACTAGGAAAAATAACTAATAGAATAAAATAATAACTATAAAGAATAAAATAATAATTATAAAGAAAAGTAATAACTACTATAGCTACTATAATATACTATAATAATAGCTTAATTCTCTTACTTACTAATAAATATAATAATACTTATTAGTATATATAAGTTATCTTTTTCTTTTAAATATAAGGTAGCTTATAATTATACTAGGTATAAGGTAGCTTATAGTTATATTAAGTATAGAGTAGCTTATAGTTATATAGAAGGCCTTATTATTATATTAAAGGCTTTATAACTACTATATTTTCTACTTTTTACTTATAAGGTAATTTAATTTATAAATCTATATAAATAAATTTTATAGAAAATAAAAGTTATATTATAAACTATATTTAATAAAAACGCCTTATCCTAAAGACTATAGAATATATAAGGGACTACTAGCTAAAGTATACTAGGTATTATACTAATACTAAGTATACTATACTAATACTATATTAGTACTATACTAATACTAAATATACTATACTAGTACTATACTAATATTATATTAATATTATACTAATACTAAGTATACTAATTAACTATAATAGTTCTAAAAGTAATAAAATAGTAATAAACTTATAAAGGCTTAGGCTTCTATAAGATTATAACTATAAAGAAGTCTTAATAGCTATAAGACCTATAAAGCCTTATAACTTATAGCTATAAAAGGCTTACTATAATATCTTTAAAGGGTAATACCTTAAAGGTATAATACTAATTAGCTTATAATAGTTTTAAAAGTAATAAAATAGTAATAAACTATAAAGAAGCCTTAATAACTATAAAACCTATAAAGCCTTATAACTTATAATTATAAAAGGCTTACTATAATACCTTTAAAAAGTAATACCTTAAAGGCTTAATACTAATTAGCCTATAATAGTCTTAAAAGTAATAAGATAATAATAAGCTATAAAGGGAGCCTTAATAGCTATAAGACTTATAAAACTTTATAACTTATAATTATAAAAGGCTTATTATAATACCTTTAAAGAGTAATACCTTAAAAGCTTAATACTAATTAGCTTATAATAGTCTTAAAAGTAATAAGATAATAGTAAGCTATAAAGAAAGCCTTAGTAGCTATAAGACTTATAAAGTTTTATAACTTATAATTATAAAAAGCTTATTATAATACCTTTAAAGGATAATACCTTAAAGGCTTAATACTAATTAGCTTATAATAATTTTAAAAGTAATAAGATAGTAATAAATAGAAAGCTTATTAGTCTTTAAAAGGTAATACCTTAAAAGCTAATACTAATAAAGGTATTAATAGAAAGCTAGCTAGCCTTTAAAGGGTAATACCTTAAAGGCTAATATTAATAATATTAATAAAAAGCCTATTATAATACTTATAAAAGATAATACTTTAAAGGTATAAAGCTAATTAATTATAATACTTATAAAATAGTTTTAATAGGTAATACCTTAAAGACTAAAGGCCTTAAAAGTATAATACTTTTAGAATAAACCTTTAAAAAATTATAACTTAAAAGGTATTTAGTATAGTTTTAAATAATACCTATACTTATAAAAGGCTAACTTTAATAATAGCTTAGTTATAATATTAATAGTATTCTTAATATTTAGAATTTAATTAAAGCTTAATTAGTATAGTATATTCTTATTATATAATTAATAGTATTAAATATCTATATACTTTATATAAAGGTATTTTTAGATACTAGAAGCTTAGGTAATAATACTAAAGTTATTAGCTTAAATAGTAGTTTTTGTTAAGGGCTGGGCTACAGAGCCCGCCCTGGTCCTTCCAGAGTGGCCGGCGCGGAGCCCCCTGAAGGGGGGCCCCTTATAGGTGCAACCAGACAACAACGGGTCAGTATTGTTGTTACGAATCCTTTTGCCTGGTCGAGTGGTAAGAGGGTTGTGCGCCGTAAGGCCACTAATGGCCGCGGGGCTGGTTGCCCCCGAAGCCCCTCTGGGGCCAGTCCGTCACATACAACAATACTACCCAGGGTCGTAGGTTCGAACCGTGGCGTGTGCAGTCATGCAAAAGGGGCTGGCGTACACGGTTCAACCTAGGCTCACAGACGGCGGCTCGTCTGGGGGGTTTGTGG